GCCCATGATTCTGTCTACCTTCATTTTTACCACAAATGAAATGTCCTTAATCTTAATAAAAGAGAATTTTCAACTTGGGCAGTAGACTTCTTTTCTTGTCTATGTTAGGGACAAATCATCCTGAAGTTAAGATATGTATTGCTTCCTTTTTTTTCAAATATTCTTTCAGCATGATTTTAGCTTTGATAAATTACTCAAGTGAGAGTATCTGTGGTTGAAGTCAACTTACCATACAATGCAGAGTTGAGAAGTCAGAGACAATTTAAATCACCCAGAGAAGCATGTCTGTAGCTATATATATTTTCACTTTTGAAGAAAAAATAATTTGTTTGATTTTTATCATACAAAATATTTTAAAAGTAAGCAATACAAAATAAGCATAAACAATAGAAATAGCAGTGTCCCTTCTGGTGTTTAAGATAAAATAATTCATTAATATATAAGCCAAAGAGTAGTTAGGAAATAAAATTACAAATTTTCTGACTAGCAATATTTAATGTACTACAAATCTGATTTATGTAGTTATAATTAAATTAACAATCAGCATATTTCTTTGTGTTTGCATTGCCTTCTTTAGCCTGTTTTTGTCTATGTCCTATTATAATGAGAGTGAAGAGTCTTCTACTTCTTCTTGAACTTATCTCTTGACCTTAAAAATGGATCTCTATCTGAGCATCATAGAACTTAATACATTTGCTACATCTTTTTATCCCCCTGTGTATACTAGAAGAAATAAAGAGGGAAAAGATATGTAGAATGAAATCACTATCCTCAGAATTGCTTTATTATGTTTTTTACTATTTTGGATGGATGAATAAACATCATCTCCAAGTCAAAGAACTAGTAGGGCACACTGTTTCTACTATTACTCTTTACTAGTAGGGAAGAAAATCCTGAATTTTCTCTATTTGTAGAAACTGGTGGTTTAAGTCTCTCCAAAACAAACCTCACTATATAAAGAAAGAAATCCTATCTAAAGGCGCTTACTGTGGAAGGCATTTTGATAATATCTGTATGAATCTGTGGGTTATTTTGGAAAACCATCCCCTGTGTTCAGAGATACTGATTTCTTTGTGGCTAAGCAGCTGCTTATGACCTTGAACAAAGTAGAAGTCTTGGAATGCCTTTCTGCTGTCTGCAAGGCCCTGCTTCTGCCAGTTACTACACAAAGGAATAGTTGAATTCCACATGGAATATAGGTATGTTTGGGTTTCAGGAAGTAATAGAGTACTGTTGATTAGTTGTGAAACAGAACAAATAAGCCACAAGAGGGCATATTTTTCTTTATTTCAGCACCTTTACATAAATAAGTCTTGCCTCAACCACATATCATGTGAATCTTCTTCTCTCTACCCTATTTCCTCAGAATATGCTTTATCTAAAATATGCTCTAAAGGTGGAATGATGTTTAAGAAATGCAAAGTTGACTATGATACCTTTTATACATGATGCCTAGGAGAGTTTATCTTTCTTAAAATCTTTTATTGATACAAGTCCATTGTTACAAATAAAAGTAAAGAATCATTTGAACTCTCCTATTGAAATAGCTACATGCCCTCCTATGTCAGGCATGAATAAAACCTTCCTAGCTTCTAGTGAATGTTCAAAGTCAAGGAATTTTTTTTTTCTAATGAGGTCCCAGGATTTGGTCCAAAGGGGCTGATCTATGTTTTTATTTTTATTTTGAAGCACATTCCTGCTGAATTTAATTATTCACCACACCCTGACACAGCTAAGTAAATATAACCCCAAGATTCTGGCTTGGAAAGGTTTGAAAAATAGTTGATTCTTGTAAGACTATGTAAGGGTGAGGAGGTACTCCAGAGAGAGCAAGGGCATAAGGCAGGAGGAAGGAACTGGGGGTTTTCAGGCTTCGGGGTCCAGGGTCCTCTTTAGAAACTCACTCTCCTAACTGAACATTTGAGATTATTTATGATGTTATATAAAAAGTTAAACCTTGAAGAAGAGTTCAGATGGCTTTACATGCCAATTAAGGAATCATAAATTATCGTCTGCATTTATCAGATGATGAGAAGGAGGAATGTATTTACGTTTGAAAGTTGTGGATGTGTGTAATTAACACTGAGGTAAAAGATAAAAGTCAGATATATGCCTTTCTACCACCACTAAGCACATCTAATGGTCTTACAATGTAAATATCACACGAGCCAGTGATGAGTGCATTACTATGACCAAATAAAGCAGATGAGAACATTACTTGGAATATGTAAGGGGAAAACACCCAATAGAAGATTAGGAGGCAGGTGAACTGCTTTCAATTCATGCTGTCACTTGTTCCAATTAGACCTAAATCAACAAACGTCCCAGTTTCTGTCTTATCTGTCAGTACTGATATGTTAATATGTGAGAAATCACTCATAAGTACTATTTATTTTGAGAGAAGTTTAACGTGTGACAGAGTTAGGACTAGTTTTATAAGTGAGCACTAGACGGCTTAACTTTAATTCCATTTTCTTTACTTGCCTCTCTACATACCTTTTCAATCACTATTGACCCTTGTTTTTCTTCAGATTTACCAAATTTTCATTTAGTTTGTCAATATACCATTATTCAGAGAGAACTAGAATTTTTTTGGAAAAGGACCAGACAAAGCCAAATTCTGAGATCCTGCTAGGTTTAAATTCTGGACCTAGCAATTATCTTTCTCCTGTCTTCTGGGTTGAGAGAGCTATATATGGAGTTGGAGAAGTCTAGAATACACTTATTCTACCTTTATGTGTCACTGCCCGTCTTCCCATGCCTCCCAATACAGATTTAGGATTACTGACATTTTTACCATTACAACTTTATTTTTTGGCTTTATTTAGTATTAAAGTGTAATCCACTGAGAAATAGTAACATTTCTCAGTATCTAATTCTTATCTACTATTATCTATTAGAATGATTTTCTCAGACTCTTTGAATATAAATGGAGGTAGGTGAGAGGTACTATATCACAGAACAGTCTGGATTATTATTTACTTAACAGTTGTCCCCAAGCCTAAAAGCATGGGTTTTCTTTTCCTTTTTTTTTTTTACAATTCTCACACTGAGACAAACATTTTAGCTGTAATTAGGTAGTTCTCTCTTTACTCTTTTAGAGTAAATAAGGAACACTTCTTGAATCCTAATAGTCTCCATTGGAGACAAGCTAAACTACACAGTATAGTTTAAATTTTTGAAAAACTATAATATAAAACACTTCTTGCTTTCTGGAGTTTTTCAGTTAGGATTCAGATATGGAATTTTTCCTATAGGGCAGACAAAAAGATTGATTTTGATGTCATTAAGTTTAATCTCTTAGAAAGTTTTGTTAAAGTCATCTGGATAAGATACAGTAATAGAAATTCACCAAAAGCAAATGTGACTTGCATCACCATCATCATATCAATGATTTCATTCAACTCACAAGTACTTGTTAAATATCTAGCACCTTAAAGATCAACATACTTTTGGAAAACAGGAGGGAATGATTCATGTGGGAAGGGCTTTGTGGAAGGAGTTGAGATGGCAGCTGAGCAAGTGTCCTTTGGGTCTGCGTGTATTAAGTTGTAATTTAGGTGGGAAAAATAGAAGAAATCTAGAGTTCACAGCTACTTTATTTAAACATGACAAACTTTTCCTTTATCAAAAAATAAAGAAAAGAATCTCTAACAGTCTAAAAAAGCCATGAACCCACCATGTATGGAGTGTGAATCTGGCCTGAGATGAGGATGGGGTAATTGTAATTTAGATGGCAAGTGGATGGCACAAGGAAAAGAACACAAAAATATGCAGAAATGCAAGAAACGTATCACGTATATCATTAATTACAAAAGGAATGGTGTAACATTGAATAAGACAAACGAAGAAGTTGCTATACATTGAAACAGTCTGTGGGGATTTCAGGTTTCCTGTAGGCAAAGAGGAAAATTACAGGGTTAGCTGACAGTCAAAAACCAAGGTCATAGAGGCAGAACAATATGGAACACAGGAAAGAATTTTGGTCAGAATTTGGAGACTTATTTTGCCTAGATTACACCACCCTCTCTCCATAAGTTAAAACGACTGTTTTGCTTCCATGCCCCTCAGATTTCTGCTGCAATTGAGAGGTGGAATTAGGGTCTCCTCTGCTCATTCCATGTCCTGTAGGCTCACCACCCCCAAATCAATGGACTCTCTGTCATTTGCTTAGGTTGCTGTGTGACCTTTACACATCGCGCTTTTAAATCAAGCTGACATTTGCAGGCCCCCATGGCTCTTTCCTTCTGTGCATCTGTCTCAAGTGAGCTTTACTTGTGACTTATGGCAAGGTGTGTGAGTACAGAGCTGCCGTCAGTACTCAATTATGCAGGCTCTTTTCTGTAACACCCATGATGGGTTTTTCTAAAATCAATTAAAAAATAAAACAAAAGCTGGTTGTGTGTTATTTTACTTAGAAAGGATTGTCCCTCCAAACTGGGCAAGTTCCAGATTCCACAAAAGGCATACCCTCTTTTTGTCTTCACATACTTCTCAGTTTTTTTTTTCTTTTTATTGTGTCAGCAAGGTGTACAAGAATGTGCAAAGGAAACTTCAGCACACAAGAGTATGAAGTTCAACTCTAGGCCTGGTTTGAAGATCTCTCTCGTTCTCTCTGTGTCTGTGTCTGTCTGTCTGTATGTCTGTCTGTCTGTCTCTCTCTCTCTCCCTCTCGGACTTTCTCTTCTTAATGCCTTAGGAATACCGCCCCACTAAGAAGTCCTGATGTGATTCAACCCGGAATAATCAATAGCTCTTATATAAAGGGACACAGGTACACATTGGGGGAGTTAGAATTTGTAGGGCGATGTTTATTTGTGGCACACCCCGTTCTCCAGTCCTAGGTCCGTAAGGGAATTGACTATAAAAAAGATCCTACACGGGTTCCTAAATCACTCGGGTCCAGTCTGCGGCGTCACAGGTCCCGTGTTCCCAGAAACATCCTTCAGCGCCTCCGGAACTACCTTTAAATCCACTGACAGCCGACACGCAGACAAGGGTAGACTTGCAGGCGTGGAGGAAAAGAGGCCCGGGAGCTGGGGGAGGAGACTGAGCAGGGAGAGGTAATCCCCGGCGCTTTGAGCATCCCCCTTTTTAGAAGGACTGAGTCTCTCCCCGAACAGCTGCTGCGGTTACACCACAAACTTAAAAAGCCGCCTTCCTGCTCGGGGCGCTGCCTTTCCGCACCCACCCTCGCCCCGCCAAGGCTCCAGCTGGTGCCTCGCTCGCTCCCCGCCCGCGCGTCCCAGCCCCGGCGCTCAGGGGTCCGGAGCGCCCCCTGCCTTCCCGCCCGGCCTCTGCGGCCGCGGCCTCCGCGCTCTGCCAGGGAGGGCCGCCCGGCGGCTCCCCGGCTCCGCCAGGGCTCTGCGGCTCACAGCAAACTCGCGTCGGGTGCCCCCGGGTCAGGGATCGCCCACCCTCGTCCCCGGCAGCCCCGTTCCTCTGGCTCACACCGCATCCCGGAAAGAGAGAAGACGGAGCGCAGAGCACACACCAGGTGAGTCTGGTCTCGGGTCACCTGCTAATTCCGGTGGGAGGGTGTTTGGAGACACTGGGGATGATCGCATTGGCGGTGGTTTCCCAAGTGAAGTCTCCAGGAGACAAGGACCCGTCCCGAGCTTAAGAAGGCGCGCGAGCGCGGACGGGGATGGGGCGCACCGCAGGACGCGCTGGGAGAGCGGTGCGTTGGGGAACCGAGCGCCGCCGGACACTCGTGGCTCCCGCCACGGCGCGGCCCCCGGGGTGCAGTGGCCCGCGTGCCGCAGCCTGGCGGCGGCTGGAAAGTAACATCCAGAGCCGGCGCCTGCCAACACTGCACAAACTTTTCCTCCAGGGCGCGCCCGGGAACTTTTGCCCTCTCCCTAGACGCCCTGGTCCCCCCACCCCCCACGCCCCGTGCCCGCCCAGGCGCAGGCAGAAGAGGCGTTTAGGAACGCGCCTAGCTGCCTTCGGACGCGCAGGTTCACCCGGCTGACACCCGGGCGGGCGGGGAGCACCCGGGGACGACTCAGCCAAGGGACTACTATACCCTAGCTCGATCCTTTCCCCTTGGAGCTGGGGGGGCGAAGAGGGGGGGGGAGGAGGGAAGAGGAATGTGTTTTGTGTGGTATTTTCTTGCAGAGTCAATGTGACTCTGGATCTGATCGTTCCTTCTTGATCTAAAGGGAAAAGTTGTCAAAAAAAAAAAATAACCCTCAAAACCAAACCAAACAAAAACAAAAAACAAACAGGCATAAAGTTATCTGGCTGTGAAATAGAGCAAACAGCTAGGGAACGCTCTCCTCCCGGGGCCCGAATCCGGCTTGGATCGATTCTGAAGGACCGCAGTCCTAGGGTGAGCTCGGGCTTCCATCCACACACACGCAGCCCCCCGGAGGGGTCTTGCGTTAGGTGATTTCCCTGGCGGCTGGGTTCCGCCCCGAGCCTCTCCTCTGTTGACTCGTGCTCAGCCTCGTGGGCTGAGTGGCTTTGCCGGCGCTGCAGCGCGCCAGAAGTCTGACTTGACAGGAGGAGGAGACGTCGCGCTCTGGCTGGGTCGTCTGGAATGTGGGGATTGGACGGGACGCGCGCGCCAGCAGCTGGAGCTGCTTACCCCCGGGGTCCGCCTCACTGACACCACGGAGTCCCGAGCGCGAACTTTTCTCCACTTAACTGAACCGCCAAGAAGATGCAAAGTCCCCAGATGGACTCATCTTCCCCCCTCCTCCTCGCAAGCCCTCTGCCTTCACGATTTGTCTCAGCCAAAAAAGTACCAGCTGGGGTGGAGAAGGTGGATCAGGTTTTGCTGGAGAAAGGTTCTTCCTGCGTGGGTGCTCAAGTGAAGGGTGGGGGGAGGGGGACGCGGTTGTATATAACCTGAGAGCAGCTGCTGATCTCATGTAACCATGGCAACCGCAGGGTCCTGGACAGTGAGCTTCCAGTTTCTTGGTTCTAGCACCAGAAATAAAATAAAATAAAATAAAATAAATGAAGGGTAGGGAAGAAAGAGAGGTCCATGTCATCACTCTAATAATGCCTTCCTTTCTCTCTCTCAACTGTGAGGCCAGGCCACAGGAAGGATGGGCAGGAAGAATCTGGGTTGGGAGCTATTAGCCAGTCACACCCAGCAGTTGTTTTAACCTCCTGCAGTCTTGAAGTCCTGGAAGCTAGAGTTGGGGGAGTATCGCTATCACCAGCAAGCTGCAAAGTGACAGCCCAGGTCAAGGAGATGGGAAGGGAGCTTGGCTGCTGGAAATGGAAAGGCAGGAAATACAGGAAAATGATGGCAGATAAGAATAGGACCACGAGGTAGTTGAGAGACAAATGATACTGATTTGGACTGAAAACATTTCAAATGGAATTTACCCACTTATGAAATGGAAAATTCTGGAGAAGGGCAAGATGGCTATCAAATTCCCATTGTTTCACCATTGTCTGTACATCACAAATAATATTCTAACAATATTGTGTAAATGGTAATCCCTTCTTGATAAATAAAGCAGAGAAGCAGTGAGAAATTAGTGTTCATTTTGGCTTTTATTCTTTTAACATAATTATTAAAGCATTCATTAAAATCAGAATTATCAAAACATATTAAAGCCATTAATGTTAATATCGTTATAATTAATATCATTAAAATCCGTTGCCCTATCAATATGTCTTGATAGGGAAATGGACTAGTTATTTTCATTTTAGAGATGAAAATAATGCATATGGTATTTTTTGTGACCAAATACAAGCTTTTAGGAGTCATAGCTGAGATGGTAACTAATTAGTGGATAGGGGTTCAGGAAACTTTCTATCCTCCCTTAAAGAGAAGCCCTTTCTGAGGTCAGTCCTCATGCTGTTTCTGTGTATGGACTCATTTATATGTGAAGGACACCCAAGAACTTTAAGATCAGTACAGATCATCATTACAGAACAGCATCAGTAGAACCAGAATATGTATGTATTAACATACTTTTATAGAGATATGATTGGAATTTGTAGGAATTATTGCTAGCTTAAAAATGTTTGTAAAAAAACAACAAGAAAAGAAATATAATTTATCTAACAGCAATCAGTGATTGTGTTGAGTCTAATTACTGTTCATATGACCTTTATATCAAAACATCGACTTCATATTCTGTCACCATTTGTCTACTACTGTAATAGTCTCTTGGCTATTAGGAAAAGGTATACAGCTTTGAGTATCTGAGTTTGGTTATCTTCTTGGGGCCTGGCTGTGAAGAAGGCTAAGGGACACACATGTCTGGCAATACAAAATGTTTTGAAACTATCAGGAAACTAAAATCTGCATGAGTACAAAGGTTAAAAGAAAAGATGGGGATGGGAAGGTGGCTCAGTGGTAGAGTGCTTGCCTAGCATGCATGAGGCCCTGGGTTCAATTCCTCAGCACCACATAAGCAGAAAAAAAAAGGCCGAAGGTGGTGCTGTGGCTTAAGTGGTAGAGCGCTAACCTTGAGCTGAAGAGATCAGGGACAGTACCCAGGCCCAGAGTTCAGGCCTCACTTTCCAGAAAGTTGCCTTCACAGGTAAGTCTTATGAACTTGCTTTGTATTTTGCAGGGAAAAGATGATCAAAGAAAAACTTACGTTTGTGTGGATAGGACTCATAAGGGGAGAATGGAGTCATTTTTTGGTGAGAAAAGCAAGGATATAAACAATTACAAGGAAGAAGGAACACAAATACTCTTTCTAGCATGGTGACAGATTAAATTCTGTCTGAATTAAAGTTACTGAGCTGAGCTACTCTCACCTCTTCTTTTCTAGAGCTACAAATTACTTTATTTGCAGTTGGGGTTAAAATAATGCATGGCATTTTATGATGCCCAGTTTTTATTCCCTGTATTGTGCCTCCATTAATGGATATTCATTAATTATCAAAAAGGTTTTCACAGACTGGCATCTGTCTCAAAGATGTCTTCTAGAAGAGAATGACAAAAAGCATTCCTGTGGTCTGGTGTTTTGTTTCCTGTTTGAGTAGAGTTATTTGTCTTAAGTCTGTACAATTTTTATTATGTATATGGAATATCAACTTCTTGATCTAAGAGAAAAATAGTCTAACTGGTACCACTTTAATGACTGATGGTATACTTTGAGATGGAGTAGTCCAGCTTCATTATTTTGGGAAAAATAAATTTGAGCTTTTAACTTTGTTTTTCTGTCTGGAAAGTTTAATGCTTTGACACCACATGTTCTTTGGGAAGTATCTTTGTTAATTGAGACTTAATTTTAATAACATGAGTAGTTCTTGATCAATTTTGAATGGTTCTTATAGTTTTTCCTATAAACACATGCAAAAATATAGATCAGTCAAGTAAAATAGTAAGTTTCAATCATCCATGTCATAGTTTCAGAGAGGTAAAATATACAGTTACAGTTGTGCAACAGATTGTACTAATAACATTAATAACAGACTGTAGGTTGGGTACTATTGGCTCACATCTGTAATCCTGGCTGTTTAGGAGGTTGAGATCTTAGGATTCTGATTTGAAGCCTGTCTAGGCAGACAAATTTGAGATACTTTTATCTATAACTATACAGTTAAATACTGGAAGTAGAGATGTGGTTCAATTGGTAGAGCTCTAGCCTTGATCAAAAATGCTAAGTGAGAATGTAAGGTAGTGAGTTCAGGCTCAAGTACCAGCACATGCAAAGAAGTGACCATAGTTAATAAATCTGGTTTATTACACACCTCTCCAGATCCAAACCTGGTATTGCCAAGGTCATTTCTTCAGGAAACCTCAACCACAGTCCCTTCTGGTGTTTATATCTTCATCTTTACTTTCAAGATAATCATCTAAATTCGCAAATATGATTTTTTTACATTCTTGTTGTTGATTATAATCACTTCTTACCATTTGTTGCATATCTCTATTTCTTTTTAACTCGCTAGGACTATGGCATGGAGGACTGAAATGTATGACTTTACTTGAGTGCTGTCTATAGTTGCAAGTGTTGATAGCAAGAACAGAAAAAAGTTTTCAAACTGGATCTATAACTATTCTTGCTTATTAAAATAAACTATAAAAGGGAACATTCAGTTCTAAAATCTCAGAAAAATAATATGTAAACCAAATGATCTTGAATCTGTTGTTTTGTAGACAATAATTCAAATCAATATTGTTTAAATAAATAAACCAGTAATATCTAGAATACATTTAGCATTCCATAAACCTAGAGTCATAAATAGAGGAGACAAATTCTAGCCTTCTATCTAAGCCTTTGTATATGTGATGTCTCCCTCTTCATTACTACCTTGTATTTATAGCTATTATATAATAACCTGACTCTGGACTTTGTGGTAAGTGAAGTTTCTATTTAACGAGTATTTTGTGACAGTTGTTGAAAATTTAGACATTCTAAGCTTTTTCTTCTTCTGTCTTTAGTTTGCATGAGTCATAGTATAAAACATATTTCATTAACATGTGTTAGTCCCAGACCTTGAGATTTAAAGGCTTCCACTTTTGGTGATAGTCAACTGAATTTTCTGAAATAATTTAACTGTATGAAAATA